TGTAATTAGAAAAATAATTTTATTAAAAGATGTGTTCCTCTCTTATTTGTAAAAAGTTTTTATGATTCTTGATCAAGTGTATATATATATATATTTCCTCACATTTCCTATGCAATTTAATTTTATCATCACCGAATTGAAAATAATTTATAATTTTGTGACAGATAAACGTTATCTATGACATAAATTTATGTGAAACAATATTCATTCGAAATCTCAAATGTTAAACAATCTCTGATTCAATATAACATATTAAGAAAGATTAATTAACAAAGGTGAAATATAAAAATATAATATTTAAGTCAAATTTATGAAAAAATTATAAATGGAACAAAATATTTTATTCGTAAGATCTATTAAATTTTATTTTCAGTTGAGAAAAAAGTTTGATTTAAATAGTTTTTTCCAAGGATTTTCTGAGGAGCGCTTATAATGCTCTCTCTCTATTTTGAAGCAAGTCCTCTACTCTGCAAAGTAATATCCACCAAATTTGTTATTTGACAAAAGTTATATTAAATTCGTAACATTATTATAAGGAAGATAGAATATAATAATACGAAATTGTCTCACAAATGTGTTACATTTTCCGTGAATACATCGTATTTGTTCAACTTTTAAAAAACTGGTTACACTTTTCCTTAATGACTATTCCTCGATCTCTTAGTTTTATTTTCTTTCTTTAAATGTGTACTCGTTTATTCATGCTACATTTAATGTTTCCACAGTTTCTATCGTAAATTTGCGAGTAAAACTTGCAGCGTTAAACTCGACCTCCTTCATTAATAATAATAAAATGTAATTTTACCATTTGAAATCGTTTCATTTATTCGCGAAACTTTAATGTTTTATTAGATGCGAAACAGATATGCATCAAAGTTGCAATCACCAACTTGTTTTATTAGTTTGACGTTGTCTCTAACTTTCAAACCAATACTTGCCCAAGCATTACAGGTAAAACTTTTCTCACTTCGATAAATTTACATAGCCTGATTTTGTAGTTTAAATTCAAAATGATGCAAGCCGCCAGAGCGAGTTCTGTCGATCACTTATCGACGGAGTTAACTTTTCAATTTTTACTAATTTTCATTAAGAGTCCTTTCCTTTAAACTTTTCATGCGTATCAAGGAATGAGAGAACTCATTCTTTTATTTTATTTATATATTATATATTATTTTATTATTTTATTATTTTATTTTATTATTTTATTTTATTTATATATTTATATATTATTTTAATATTCTATAAATAAAAAATTACGTAAAGAATTTTATTCGTGATCTATAGCAAACGATCGATAATGAACATAATTTTCATCTTTTTTACATTTTCATCCTCGATTCGAGAATGTATGATAATCTGGAAAAATAACATTCTGTTTAACGATTGAACGTGCTTCGAGGGTTGATCATCGTTTCGTGAAATTATCACGAAAAAAATGAACGAGATTGACAGATTTTCAATCGAATTTATAATGTGAATCGTGATTTTATGGGAATACACGTACAAACAAACAGAGGATTGATTCAATTTATAACAGACAACATATGTGATGGATTTCTACATAGAGTAAAAATATTTGTGCAATAAAAATGAATAATTCGCTTAACAGATCATTATTCCTCTATTCGTTATTAGTGAGTGCAGGGGAATGTAAAGAACAATTTATTGCTCGCATATTAAATATTTTACGGAATTGAATATGAAATATTTTATATGACTCTGCGTAGGATTTTATTCTGCATTAAATGTAAAAGTAAAAAATTAATTAATGCAAGATATATCTGACGATATTCTATTCATATTCGAGATTTAGAATAACGTTATGTAAATTTGCTCATATTAAAGTAAATTACCTTGTTTTCTTCAATAATATTTTGCAATTATAAGAGATTTCTCTTTTTTATATAATAATAATTCGAAAAAAATATCATAAATATCATAATGTATATAAAATTAAATATTTAAAATTTAATCACGATCGTCTTATTCTACTTACTATCGAGTACAATTATCTTTTCTCTATTTATGCTGACTTTGATCATCTTAAATTCATCATTTATAATATCGTACGATTAATTTATAAATGGAAATATCATTATATTAATTTCATTTCGTTCTATTTTTCCTTTTTTATTTTTTCTACAAGAAAAAGCTATCTAATATAAACGAAATAGTGTCATTCAAACTAGTATATTTTCGAATATAAAAAGATTCTCGCAAATTGTTTTATTTTGATAACCGAATTGGGGCGTGTGATTGAATCTCGTCTGAAGTCGAACGATAACCGAGTACAATGAAAATTTTTCTACTGAAAAAAAAAAGAAAAAAAAATACAGAATTACATAAAAGTTTATTATAGCTGTATCTTCAATATAGATTATTTATTTTTAGAAACAGATCCATTATAATCTTCTTAAAATTCGATATCAATATAAAAATTGAAATATAATAAACAATATAATGCGATACATCTTAAAATTTAAAGTTAAAGAAGATTATAAAACGAAAAAATGAATCGAGAGAATCCTGTTGAGACTAAATAATTGAAAATATGCTGAATATACACATAATACGCTTACGAAAATTAAGCTATATTATGATTTAAAAGAAATAACCATTGTTAAAAAAAAATATTATTAAATTGTGTTTTTTAAAAAGAAACTATGTTATGCGTTAAACAGAATTATTCTCTGAAATAATTTAATTTTCTTTTCAGGTGAAATATCCAACTACTTCACGCAGATGAGAGCGTGCTTGATTATATCTACCAATTAGCATTCCCAGAAGTTGATAATCCACTTTTGTGAAACCACATGGTACAAATATAGGATAAACCAATACGCTCATTTAATCAATTGTTTTTGTTTTTTCAACACCTGAATTTTCAAATATTCCAGGTACCCCAGGTATGATTTATTTTATTTACCGGTAACTATAACATTTTATTATAATTAATATATCCCTCCTTTTATTTTAGAATCATTTTGCTGTATCGATTAAACGGACAATCGATCGATTACAATGTAAATGTGTCTGTGTGAGAACTTTGCACTGCAATAAGTAAACTTTTATATTTGATCATCGCATCGTGTGTATAATCTTAAGTATTAGACACATGTGTACGTTACAATTATAACTCTGTGTAATTAAGCGTACGTGAAACATACGGTTCCACCCAATATATTCAGTTTCTGCTTAATGAATAGTTGGTTCACGTATACACAGTATCAATTAGTAACGTGTAATGTTACATTTAATAACAACCAGTGATCAAATTGTTACTTATTTAGGTGTACAAACTAATTTTGATTCATTTTCTCCACTAACCTAATTGGATTTTCGATTATACTAGCTCTTTCTCTCTCTCTCTCTCTCGTCCGATAGAGAAATATTTCAATTATCTCCCTATCAATTATCCATCAACCAATTTCAACAGGAACGAGTTAAATTTGACATCCACCTACGTCATTTTTTGAATAATCTTTTTCAAGAAACGAAGAATAATCAAGCTTATTTTTCGACATTCCGATCTTAATTACCGAGGGACGAGTAATCAACTCGTTCAAATTTTGAAAGAGAAAAGTGGACAAAGTGGACGATATTAAACTTACTTGCTCGTAAAAAAAAAGACTCGAAAATTAACCGGAACTGCAACGAAGCAGTGTCCTCGTAATGAAACACGCTCTATAAAATTGATTAACCGTAGTAATTAACTGCAGAACTTGAATTACCTCGAAATTTATTATTGGCTAAATATTTATTAACTTTGAACAATTGCTTAACATTTACGAATATATTTCGAGAGTTAAATACATAGAATGAATAATAAAAATGTCACGAAAGTGGTGATTCTGTCTGTAAAAAAAGTTTTTTACGGCCCAATAAGAGATAGAGATTTCGATCTCGAGGGTGTCATCAGGATTATTTTAAGTCGTGGAACTGGTGGATTTATGTAATTTGATACAGGAGGCTCGCAAATGGTGAAACTTAATACAAAATATCTCATAAATTCGTGAAAATTGATAGAAATAAATCTTAAATATTAAATCGAGTCGAGGAGAGAAAATTGTGAATTTTATAATTTCAGAAAAGAATCTTGCAATCTAAACTTGTGATGGAACATAGTTGGATTAAATAAATGTAATTTTAATATTTTTATTTTAATACGATAATAATAAAAAAAAATGTAGAATCGCGATGTCGAAATGCAAAAAGTCAGCGTATTGAAAACCGATATTTCGTTTACAATATTTTCACTCAATGTATCCCAGTTTTGTCTTCCCTTTTTCTTTTTTATTTTTGCAATTTAACTCGCGCACATTTTCTCAATGTTGTCAAAAAAATTTTTCGCACGACAAAGTAATTTTAAATTACTTCTTTCCATTCTAAAATTTTTATCTTTTTCAGATACAAATTCTTCTCGAAACGTAAAATTCAAAATACAGAAAATCGCAGTCCCTAATTTCGTCAAATCATAAAAATTTTCACCATTTCTCTTCAATGCAATTGCTCCGTAATTAAAGTTAAAGTTCAATCAATCACGAAGATCTTCAACAAAATTTAAACAGAATTATTATCCCATATTATTCACAACTTTTATCACAACTTACAATTCACACGAAACGCTTAATTTTCCATCCTACTGAAAATATATATTTATCAGATATTTACGAGATAATTGTAACGAACGATCGATCTAGATTAAATGCAACTTCAAAGGCGGCATTAAATTAATTGGCCAATCAATTACGACAACCGTAGACAAAGAAACGTGAAATTACAGATGTCCGTGATTCAACAACCGACCTACAAATTCATTGAATCTCGTATTGAAAAGGGAACGCCATTGAATTCTGTATCACGTATGGAACGAAGTAATCGGACCCTCGGTTAAAGCATCCACCGATCGAAACGGAAGATCGACCATCACTGATCGTGATTCGAAATTCGTTACCGCCAATAAAGACGAATGATCCGCGGTACGAAGCTCTACCACTCACCTGATAGCGATGTACCTCCAAACAGCGAGGGTGAGCGTGATGGCGATGCTGATGGTATGGAGCAATTGCGTGAAATGCATGTGGAAGAGGACGAACACCGCCCACCCGTAAGGAAATATCTGCCTCTTTGGGAGCACGATGTACATGTAAATAGCGAACGGTATGTATTCCAGCATGACGAGCATGTCGGCGGTCGCGAGACCCGTGAGAATTCGGTTTATGGGAGTTGCGACCATGTCTTTCCTCGTTAACACGATTATGTTGAGCATGTTGGCCAACGTACCGAACAAGCACACCATCAACGCAACGTAACCGTGATAATTCTTGTACTCGATCGCCAGATCTCGAACCGTCCCGTTGCAGTAGCAATCGGTCTGTTGCTCGCAATTGTCGTTGCACGAAATCGATAGATTATCCATGAACTTGTTCACGTAATCTATATCCTCGTCCGTGATGTTCAAACTGTTCCAGAAGCTAGCGTTCAATCGATTCATGGTTGATATACGACGAATCAGATGGCTCAGGTGTAGAAGGGTCGCGTTCAAGTGCCGGGTATCCTCGTAGTGTACGTGGCGAGGCATCGCATCTCGAGGGATGGCCGCATCCTTGCTGGATTCTTTTTTCTCTTTTTTTTCCTATTTCTCTTCTATCCGCTCCATTTCTTCCTCCCCTGATTCTTACTCTTCGCGAATATCGAAATATCGAGTGTGTTAATCTTTGACATGTTGATCACAGTCAAAGCGGAGAACGGGTTTTGGTAAATTGATATCTCTTTATTATTTAAAGAAAATAAACCACTGGTGGAGGAAGAGGAGGAGGATCATTTAACAAACGATCATCGTCGTTTGTGAGTACTTTTCTAAATCACCTCCAAGTTGTCGATGGAACGTGACAATGTTGTATCGAACGACGGTAACTGTTCCGTTCTCGATACTGGCCTCGACATCGGGCAGATAAAAAAATTCTCTATCACCCTATCTACAGCAACGCTTTTATTATCCTCGTTAAGGGTGTGGTTTACGATGCTTTCGTGACGAATCACTCCGTTTAGGCATCGTTATTCATCACGCGAGAACTTCACTGCTACAACGTATCCGATTTGCGATCCATCGGAGATGCATTAGGATGGAGATGCGAGTCACGTCGTCCAAGCTTCCATCTCTCTCATCTTTTCCAGTTATCATTATATCTCGCTTCACTTTTCCACTTTTTCGTTTCCCAGAGAGCGAGAAACGGCCATCAATCGATGCTGCTTCACATTCCATTCGAATCAAATCGACTCCTCGAAACTGCTGAACCTCAGCGAAAGACGTTCAATGGAGATGAAATGCAAGTTATCCCAAGATCGTTCCCCACGTTTTTCTCCCTTCTGTTTAATCCCTTGGTCTACATTCCTCCGTTAATCTTGTTAAATTCCGGAGAGCCATTACCGTCTTACAAAATCTTGTGCAATTCGTAACTTGCGTTTAATCTATCCTTAAACCGAGAAATTCACTTCTCGAGGTAATTTCTTCTATAATTTTATATATATATATATACATATTTCCTCCTGATTCACTCCCCGTTTCTTTTTCCAGATTCGTTTCACGTACAGACCACTCCAACCGATTCATCGACTATTATTTCCATTTCAACATACTTCAAACATTGTTCTGGAAGATCACTTTCAACCCTCTTCGAGATATGGCCCTCTCTCTTAAAAAGTTTCACTAGGGATTTACTTTTTATCCTCTTCTATCCTGGCTACGATTCAGAAGGTCATTCCTTATCTTTTTGCTCGATTTTCCTCTCCTCCTCCTCCCCTTCTCCTTTAAAAATATATATATATTTTACAATCTTGGAATCTTCACGCGCCGTGCCTGCTTTTTTTCTTAACCCGTGCTACCATTTACGATTTCAATGGCCGTCCTTCCACGAGGGATAATCCCACGGGACAAGATCCACGGATCTTGACGGATTGAAGCTCTTACATGGAACGACGTTTCGGCAACCGGGGATCGATTCCATCTATGGACGTGTCTCTCCCTCGCGCGATTTCTTCAAGATCACCTTCTTTGTACCTCGATACATATATTCTCCTGTTGAAACGGGAGAAGTTTTAGAATTTCGACCTCGAGAAGAGATGTAAGTACCGATTCTCCGCTCTTTCGATTTCTTCAAAATTCCTTATGCTTGTGCTTCCTTCCTCAACAGGAGTGGACCTGGAAAAGATTATTTGCGTTCGATCAATCGCATAGAGGGAGAATGCTCGTGATTTTTTTCTTGTGAGAGGGATTGTAGTAAAATTGGTAACAGAAGGTGAAATCTATAAAAGCGATACGTGCGAAATTTTTTTAAAATAACGATGAATGAATTGACTAGATATTGATAATAGGGATTTTCATTATCAATAAATTTTATTTGTGATATCAAGGATTTGATGGAAAGGTAATCTTTTATAAAAATAAGGATACTAATACACGAAGAAACGTGTGATAAATTTTTTAAGTATCGAATTTTAATTCGTTTAATTTATTGGATTTTTAGAGGAAGAAGATCCGGCCAGATGTAAATCTTGATCAACTTTAAATTTTAAAATAATTTGGTTTTAAATTTAATAGAAAAATTGATGGTGTAACGATAAGGGTAGAGAAGAGAATTCGAGTCATATTTTCGTAACGAAATATAAGCAAGAAACAGAGTGGAAACGATAATGCACATCCTGCATTAATAATGTTTTCCAAGCACGAGTTATTTTATTAAGTAGCAACAACAATGATATCTTTGTATCTCTTCATTTTTTTATCCGTTCCTTTCTTAAATGTTGTGATAAATTTGCAGATGATAAAAGCTTATGAAGAGATTACATACATAAACAAGTTACATGGCAATGTGCGGAAAATTTCAGTGTCGCGTTAAAAATGCAACGTGTTTCATCGATAAAATTGGAAAATATACGCGAGAGAGGTAAAAAGGTACAGATACATAATGTTACATATGGGATTAATTAACGTCGAATTTATTTAATTAATATCCTTAAAAGATTTCAAAATATTACAGCATACAAATAATAAATTGGAATAAAATTGGAAGGAATCGGATGGAAGTTTTCATGATTGAAAAAAACTTTTGAAATTGAAAAAGTAATCCAAGTTCAAAACGATGAATTTAATCAGAACGAAAGAGTTTTACAAGCAAATAAAGAAAAAAAAAGATGAATTTTTCATGATAAAAGTTAAAATGTCACTAGATTTAATCCATTTTTCTTTTTATTTTATTCCCCCAAAAATTATTTATGAATAATTTCGTAAAAATATTCAGCTTTCAAACGAAGAAAATATTTAAAGCTTTCAAACGAAGAAAATATAAAAATAGGGTAAATTTATTTATTCTTAATTAAATTACCCATAAAATAATATATTCGATAAGTCCATGATATTTATTTTATCTTATGAAATTCCATTTATATTTCACATATATTTCTGCATTGTATTTAAAATATATTTTATATTAGATTATTAATTTAAAATGAAAATTAATTCCATATCAAATAAATTTGCTTTTCGTACTATATATTTTTAAAATAAATTTAATAAATTCATCTAATGAAATGATTTCCAAAAAAAAAAAAAAAGAAAAGATCACTATTATTTATTTTTCTCTCAAATAACTGAAATGTAAACGTATTAACTTGCTTTTGCAAACTTTCAACACATGTACAACGTTCGTTTTATTAATTCTCTATGCAAGCTTCCTCAGTCTTCAATAGATTACCTCTTCATTGCTTCGTAACTTAATTGATTCTTGATTAACTCTCCTACAAGATCTTTAGCATGTTCTCTGACATTATGTTAACGAAGTATTCCTTAATGTCAATTTATAATGATATCAATTTTATTAGCATTGCAGCGTAAATTGAAAATTTACGAACTTGTAATAATAAAATTTAAAACAGAATTGATATCCAATATTGATAATATTATAAACGAAAATTGCTTAAGTATAATAACATTAGTAAAAATAAAAAATTTAGAATTTATAATGATACTTTCAACTTATCATGAAATTATTTAAAATTATTATTATTATACATAGACAGTATTTTATCTTTATTTTCTTAATATAAATTCATTTTCGTACATAATATAATATAAATGAATTCATTCATTTTTAAATTAATAGAAATTAAAAATCTCGATTACAATGTAATACGTATGCATAGTAATTGGCATCAATGTTTTCGTTCCTTATTTTATATAAAATATGCTAAAAATGGGAACAGCGTTCAACTCAAGATTCTTGAGATAATTTCAAGCAACATTTTCCTTTGTAGAAATTTTCGCTATGGTTTTGTTAACGAGTTAACAATTACGAATTTATTCGTAATTTAAGATAAATAATAACAATTGTGTTATAAAAACAAAAGAATATAAAATATTTCTAACAAATTAAATTAAAGATAAATTAGTACATATTTGGAGAAAAAAATAATGATAAAGATGATGAAAAGAAGAAATTAAATAATTGATAAAGAAGGAGAAAAAGAAGAGGATGATAAAGAGAAAGGTAATAATTTTAATTGCAATAAAATATAATTCGATATAATTTGATAAAAAAATATTTATCGTATTCAATAGATTTTCTTCAACATGTTTGGATTTATTTGTACTTTGTCATCGTGTCATCGACACGTAACCAACACTATGGCTTGATTAGTCTACACATTTCTTGATTGACCAGTGTTTATTAATAACTCTCGTTAATAAAACCGTACGTAACGAAAGTTTTTTATAAAGAAAAATATTGTTTAAAATTACCTCAAGAATCCCCAATTAACTAGTATTTTATTTTTAGGATATATTGTATAACGTCATCATTCGTGTGATCGCTTTAAATTTTCTTTATCTTTTTTATTGATTTTTGTGCATTTTTAATATCCATAAAGCGATAACGAATTTAATAGTCTTTATGCTGAATATCTTATGAAATTATTCTACAAATGGTGAGATAATATATTTTTGGCACTGTAATACTGTATATATTTTAAACTTAACACAATGGTTTATTTTTTAATTTACTAGTAAATTAGATTTTTCTGGTATAAATTAAAAAAAAATGTTAAATTTATGCTAAAAAATATATAATATTCTTTTCATATTAATTTCGAAAGAATCCTTTCTCTTTTAATATTTAAATTTCAATTCATTTAATTAAAATATAATATCATATAAGATATACATATATAAAGGGAAAGTTTTTATAAATGGATTATAAAATCAATGCGAGAGGATTAATCGATATTTAATCCTTTTGAATAATTATTTCGACCTCGAAATTCAATATTATTATTTTAATTTTATTATATTCCTTCTTCTCTTTTGTTTAATTTAATTTTGTTTAATTCAGAGAAATTCAATTCGCAACAGAGTTTTCCACCAACTGTTTCTCTAATAACATTACAATTAGACAAATTTAATTTTCAGTCCACATCGATAAAATGTAAGTATTTTTTATTTTATTTAATATTATTTAATAATGTAGATACATTTTTTTATTTTATTTATATTTGAATATATCAGCTTATACTGCTTACACGAATGACGCCAATAAATAAAATAAATTATTAATAAATTATTTAAAGATTTGAATGATAATAGAGTGATAATACGATAGCGAATCTTATCATATATAATCATAGAATA